AGTCAGTTGATTGATAGTTACACTGAAACCTGGGCCATCCAGGGCTTCTTGGTGACCCTTGCTGACAGACTGTAGAGTTATTGTTTAACAGTTGTGTGAATCATGCTAGTAAACATCTTCATAGACAATCGCATGTCAATTGCAAGCAATCTAACATGTAAAATTTCATGTTGTGATGTATATCAAGACCACAGATCAAGGCTACAATGACAGAGACCACTCTGTCTAGTGGAAAGCTCTTAGAACTCTCTTCAAGTTCACCAGTTACAGCATATTTTAGCCTTGATTTAAGCAAACAGCACATGTGAACAATCAGGTTCTCTGTTTTCTTTTCATGGAAATCTCTATCATCTTCCCAGGAAGGAAAGAGAAATCAAGAAGGTGTTTTAGTTACATCACAATGCCACAAAACACAGTCCCCCTCACTTATACACACCCTTCCTTGGATCACAGAAACAATCCTTGATCAGCTTACATTCTTATACCTAAAGTATGTATCTGTTAGCCAGCCTGAACAACCCCCTTTTATCACTGCAGATAAGTAAGCCACAACAGTGGAAAAATAGATTATAGTTAGGAAATACAAGGAAGAACAGGAGGATGACTGGAGGGGTAAAGACCTTGCTCCAAAAGTGTGAGGAACGGAGTTTGGATTTAGCATCTATGTTAAAAGTCAACAAAAAGTTTGGTATGATAGTGTGCCCCTGGAATCTTAACACAGGGATGGAAATAAATGGACCCTCAGAGATAGTCAAGGTGAAATGGTGGGTTTGTTGTTCACAATGAGAGACCCTGAATCAAAGTCTAAGGTGGAAGGTGGAGAACCAATTGAGGAAGACATTCAAATGCCTACCTGTGGCCTTCATATGAATTGGTGTGAAAAAGTACAAATTTTACAAACACACACACACACACGCACACATATAGATGCTTAAGTGAGAGAAGTTTAGATTTTTTATGCAATAAAGTAAAATACCTATAAAAAAGTAAATGGGTTTTTGTCAAGTAGGAAGTATAGAATCATTGCTTTTATTCAACAGCAGGTGAAACTGAATGCCCTTTTATTTTAAAATACTTATATGAGTAGTTACTCAAAACCATCACTATTGGCACATGCATTCAATTCGTAAATAACAGGTAAATTCTAACTCTGTGACAGTCACTAAGGTTATTTGGGAAAACCTCAAAGTGGAGCCAACCTCTGTGTTTTCTTTATTTCAATCGCCATTTGGTCTGAATTCCTAGAGAATTAGAACAACAGAATACTTGAAAAAAGTTAGCCTCTAAGCTTTATGAATTGCTCGTTTTAACTCTAGTTACTTGAACTGCCAACTCTTCAAAAACAAACTCTGTTTTAATTAGTAATAAAATATTGTGTCTCTCCTTGAAGCGCTATCCTTTCCTAAAGCTCAACTCACTTGGTCCAGGAAGTGGAAACTAACTGCTCCATTTTATCACTCTCTTCTTACAGATTTTTCTGAATAAGTCACATTCTTCCTTAACAACTGGAAAGCATTTTCGTTCGTGCCTGGGAATGCCTAGAGGAGCTTTTAATATTATTAAGTCTAGGTCAAATCAATTCAGTCCAAACTGGGCATGGGACTAAGACATCTTAGCCACACCCTCTTCTCACCGATTATTCATACCAGTATTAGTGGCCTCATCAGGGAATCCGTGACATCTGTGACAGGAAGTTCCAGACACAGATGACATTCATACATTCTGCTGACAACCTTTGAACCAAGCTGCCCAGTTGACACTTACTTTGCAGTCTTAACATCCAAACAGTGATTCATTGTTTGCAAACAGGGACAGATTAGTATTGCTAACCTGACCTCAGCCTCTAACTCAGAGGCTTGAGAACCTGGGCGTCGGAACTAGGGCAAGATATAAATCAAATTTCCCTCAGTACCATGAGGACATGAATATTCGCATCATATGAACTGCAAAGTACCATGGGTTTCCTTTAGAAGATGAAGGTGAGCTTGATTACAAAAGTCTCCATTACTTAATTGACTTTCATAAAATAGAGAGTTACCAGCCTGGCCATGGTATAACAGAGTTTGATGAATAAGAGCTTCACTTTGGGAGTTCAGCAACTACTGAGCTCTTAGGAACAAAGGTATTTGGAGATTATGAGTACAAAAAGGATTATGAATAATGTCTCAGTCTCTCTGCTGCAACCAAATCAAATTAGTGAGTTCCTTTTCAACAGGTCCACCTTTAAGACGCAGAGGAAAAGACACTCAAAGAGACTAAAAAGATTATTTTATGGAAGACACAGGAAAAGGACTTGCTCCAGAAAGAAGGACACACATTTGGGGCAAATATGATCACTGAATAAAAATGTAAGGATATGTTAACTCTTATGTTGTGAGTTAGACTGTAATTTTATTAAATGTCAGTTGAACTGAATTCAAGCAATGTAGATCTATATTTGCAGGGAAATAAAAAAGCTTGAAAGTTTAAGAAATGACATGTCATGTTGTTCTTGGTCTGCAATACTGAGTCTTCTGTTCCTCTATGTTTCTATTAGGAAACAGAAACTAAAGTGTGTGTGTGTGTGTGTGTGTGTGTGTGTGTGTTTAATCCGAAGAAATCCAGTTTTGATATCAAGCAAAGTAGTTAAACATTTTAAAAATGTGAGCATTGATAAGGGACAGCACATATCGTAATAGTTTTCAGTCATATTTATAGTTTTACTTTCCTGCTTCAAATCTGGAAAGTGTTGAACTCCCTTTCATCAATTTGGAAATATGATAACTCAATATTGCTGCTCTTGATTTCTCCATGAAAGTATTGGTTTTGCAAATCAAATCTTTTTGGAAATTGTGCTAGAAAGAAAAAAAATCACTTTTCTACACAGAGAGCAAATAAGCTCTTGGGAGAGTTCTTCCCAAAGTGCTTTGTGGTCACATTTCTAACAAAAGATGACATATCCCAGAAATACTATGGGCATTTCTTCTTTTAATAGTCTGCCACACTGCAAGTTATTATGAATTCAAAGATCATAAGTGTGGCACCAGTGGGTTATGTCAAAAGAAACAAGCATTTGGAGCGTGTGTGGGGGTGTTCTGGGTAATACAACTTAACAGGAAGTGACAATCATGGACATCTAAGGATCCAAATGGTCTATGTGTATACCCAAGGATACAAGTCACACCCATCACCTTCTGATAATGGTGGATCCAAATGTGTCTAACTGGGACTAAGCAGCACCCTGTCAATGTGGTGATTGCAATGAAAATGTTAATATCTAGTCTGATTGTTTTTCCTATCCTCCCTGGCCCTGATTTTTTTTTATTTTCTAAGTTATTGAATTGATCAAAACCTGTATCACTTCCAAAGACAGGTTATTTATAGCTCCTTTCTCCATTTCACAGTGGGAATATATATTTAAGTGGGCACTTCTGCAAGATGACCACAGAATAAAACAACATTTGGGTATACACTATTTAAACTGTAACATCTACTGAAAAATAAAAGTGGGGAGTGAGTGAAAACTGTAGGTATACTCACCCATGTCTATGAAGCACTGTTGCAGGTCACTCCATTCACTTTCTTTGTCTTCCCTAGCTTCAACCCAGGTGGGGGTGGGGGGCTGGGACCCAATGCACTTGGTCAACAGTTCAACTCATAGGAATCTATCTGATCAGGCTGAAAAAATGGAATTGCCCTCTCTTTCTCTTCCCTCTTCCTCTTCCTCCCCACCCTCATATTTCTGTGCTCTGTTCTAGTGTCTAACAAATGAATCACCTCTCATTTTAGGCTTCTGGACATAAGCTTTTCAAGCACAAGGAAATCTTGCATTTTTAGTCAGGCTTAAGGTGATTAAACCCACTGCAAAACTACTCATTGTCTTTCTGACATGGAACATTGGGGACTTCATGGATACTATCTAATAAGAATACTATGCAATAATTATTCTTTTTTGTGTGTACTGTATTTGTGTTTGAGTGTGCACTCACCTGTGTATGCATATGTGGAAATCTAGAGCTTTGCTTCAGATTTCTTTCTCTGCTGCTCTCTACTTTGTTTTTGAGGCAAGGTCTTTCACTGAATTTGAAGTTTGTCGATTAGCAGGCCAGCAAACTCCAAGTATCTGCATGTCTTTGCTCCCATTACTGGAGTCACAGGTATGTAACTTACTTGGACTCTTGAATCTGAACTAGGTTTTATGTTTGTATAAGCACTTTACCTGTGAAACCATCCACAAAGCCCTGATTTAATAATTTTAATGCATTAAGTCCAGAGGTTGTCTTATAACTACTAAGAAATTATGATCTAACAAGAACTTTATAATCCCAAATCATACTTTCAACACAAAAAATATAGCACAAGGCAGGGGTAAATACAAAGCTATCCACACAAAACTCGTTCTACTTTGTGTAAGCACATTTTTTAATTAAACTACGTTATACAACAGTCATTCTCAGGAGTTCATCCTGCATACATAATCTGTTTCCCACAGATAATCACCTTGAGTCCATATACATGTCACTTTTGAGCAGTACCCTATGCCTTAGTCTTTTTGAACAATGCCTTACACCTTAGTCCTTATGCCTTAGAAGTCAGTGAACAGTATCCTACCCTTTAGTCCAGAAGCCAGGGAACAATATCTTACACCGTAGTCCAGAAGTTGGTGTTGAATAACAATATTGTCTCTTTCCTTCGCTCTAAACTCATTAGCTACCTAAAAATTGGGACTCTCAAAGGATGACCTAAATTTTTAAAGCACTCAGGTTACACTGTAGGGGCAGAGAAGAAAGGGTCTGTTTCAGTCAGAGATGAACAAAATTTCTCTACTCATAAAAGCTAGGATAGGGATTTTAAAGTCTCTTCTAAAGATTTAAGTACTTGCAGCAATAAAGCAGAAGCCCAGCACCAAAGATCCACAGGAAAAGTAAACTGTCATAGTAAATGAAACAGTGATACCCACTCTGTCCTTTGTCTGCAACTGTATGCTGCTAATCCAGTCTGGCAGCCTCTCCACATGAGCATGCAGAGTCCAGCTATGAGGAAGCCTGCAAAGGCACAGCTCCCGCCCCTGTTCTCTCAGTTTCCCTTGAGTCTCTCAACATCCGTCTTCATGCTTTGTTAGTGCAACCAACAAGGGAGGTAAGAATATCTCCTTCTCTGTGGGCACTCCTGGGCAAAGCTGAACACAGGAGATGATGGGGAGACAGGAGACCACGGGAACTAGATGGCAGCCATACTGGGGGTGTTGTAGGAGTCTGGAAATCAGTCTTGCATGCTTCACCATTTTAAACACTGATGGATAACTTTGGATCATGTAGGATACATAGGACTCTCATCAAAGAAGCAGATTTTCCTTAAAGGAAAAATAAATGAAGCTACTGCATTCTTACCAACTTTTGGCGTGTTACTTGCAGCCTGTGATTTTGGCTGGACATTTAACCCAGTAATAAATTGTTTTGATTGGGGAAAACACCTGATTTTATACTGACGATATTTTGTTGTTGTTGTTGTTGTTAAAAATTCAAAGCAAAGGCTGGTGTTGTCTTTTGCAATAGGAAGAAAAGAATGAATGAACTGTGGCAGCCACTTTGGAGAAAGGGAGAAAGAGGCTGAACAAAGTAAGTTAAATTCAGATTTAAAGAACTTTAAACTGATGATCAAAGAGATGCCCAAAGAATTATCTCATTTGTAGGCTGTAATGATGTCTCACCTTCTTAATTTATGCTATTTTTACAATAAACAAGAACATTGAGATGATGTCAAGGGGCTAGGAGCATAGTAAGCATTTTCTCAGATACAGAAGTGGGTGTATTATCACTGGCTTGTGGACATTACATCCAGTTGTCAAAGGAAGGATTTTGGTAAGTCTACTTGCATGTCCTGGAAAAAATTTAAAAGTAATGCAAGGTAACAAAATTATCCAGAACAGCAAGTGCAGCAGTTGTTATTTTTGTAATCTTAGGAACTTTCAGAAATGATACCACCATAGTTTGACATGCCCCATGTTTGTCAAGGTCAGGCCTCACGGGGCTAACTTCACACACCTAGAATGAGTGTAAACTGGTAAGACCATCTGTTTGGGGCACAAGCATGATTTATAATAATGATTACAGTTACTAATTAATTGTAGTTAATACAATAAATCTTACTTACACCTTTCAACTGAGTCTAGGGAATTTAGTTTACAAAAATAGTCACAGGAAATCTATGAAAATATTCACTGTCATGCTGTTCTGAACAGAATACTACTGCGGAAGTCCTGGGTATTACCTGTGGTTGATTTATAAGCAAATCATTTCAGAGACATGCTGCAGAATGTTGGAAAGGCAGATCTTGGTAGACTGATATAACATGTTTATGCACGATTCAGTGAGTGAGTAGTACATAAGCTACATGAAGAGTGTTTGCTACAATTGCGATTATGGGGAAGCATGTGTGTGCTTGCATGTAGAAGTTGACATTTTGGGGCTTGGAATGAGAAAAGCTAGAGAAGCTTCATTTTGTGTTATACAGTTCTGGAACTATCATTTAAAATATTTCTCATTTTTTCTTACAATATTTTTTGCAATATATGTGTGCCTATGTGATATAATAAAAATGAGGTTTGAGTTTCTTTTTAAACTTTGGTTCAAATTCACAAGGAGTGAGGCAGGAACCTCTGCCCTCTAGTGGGCAACTTTAGCAATTCCTTTTCCCTAAAGTCACTTTTACCCAGATTCTGGAAAAGCCTCAACCCTCCATCTATTTATACATGGATAGAATCAACTCAAATTTTTATTAGGCAGCACCACAATTATACACACAATTCAACCACACCAACCATATTTATTAGTTTAGAAATCCTGGGAACATCTTGGCATATTTGAATGCATAATGTATTTTCAACACCAACTGCATTCTTTGCTGGGAGAGCCTACTTTCTAGCCCAGATGACAGCAAGTGCTGAAACTTAATTATTGCACAAGCTCCTTGCTTATAGACAACCAGCACTGGTCACACCAGTCTCTAAACTAGAATACACGAAAGCCTTTGCCACCTCAAAACTGAATCGTTTCCCTGAGTAATGAAGGCGCTGGGTGTTCATGGTCTGATCTAAAACATTTACAACGAAAGAAAATATTTCAGAACTATATATGGCCATGTCAACCGCCAAGTTCCCTCGATCCAGCTGAAGGCGGGCAGAGCTTCCTGTCAACTTGCTCTCTGATGCAGAACAGTCTCCAAGCCTACAGCAGAGGCTTGCTCTCTATTAACTATCGGCTACCTTGGAAATGTACCGTCTCTCATTGCAAAACTCCCCAAAGGGCAATTCAAATCACATTTAGAATTTCCTATTTACATTGCAATGGCCATGGCAGCAGTTTGAATGTCGCCATACAAATCTGGTACCAAATGCAGAGCATGTTCAGCAGATTTGGTTTCAGAGTTCACTTCGCATGAGCATATTTTCATGGTGAAAGGGGGAGGGAATGTCAAGGGATAAGGTTGTGCTATGAACTGGGAACTTAACCCTTCATGTTCTTGAATGAATGAGCTCATGTTTCTACAGAGGCAAAAGAAAATCTAAGAAAACGTTTACATGGCAACCCTGCTTTGTATATTCCTGGGCAGATATGTTATTGAGTGAGAATGGTTCCTACTACTGCCAGTTGAACTTAAAAGTGCAAGATGAAGAAATTTAGTTATATTAGCCTAGGAAATAGAGACAAGGAAAATAACTTTCCAGATCAGTTTTGGAGGTTGCTAGTTTTGTATCTTTCTTATGCTGTGCTTCATACTTGGGACAAACATTTTATCAGCATAAGTTTTCTAATAGATGAATTCATAGTTGTAGAAAACACATGGTTTTTGGCAAAATGATCTCACCTGTTCTGCCTTACTACTGCAACAATGAATGATCATCAAAAAGGAAAAGTTATTTTAACTGGATATAGTCATACATTCATAATATTTGAATCTCTAGAATCACTTGGTTCATGAAGCTGAGTTGAAATTGAAAAAGCCCATGCAGGCAAAGCTGGAAGGCCTGGAGCAGATTGCTTGGTTCCCTATTGCAAACATATAAATGTAAATTATTCACAGCACACAGTGATACACCTATTGGTTTGTCAGAATTAGACCTTGAAATAATTTATCTTGACCTTGTTCTGAGTGAACTGCACCTACAGGCACAACATAATTACCCTGGACCTGGAGTCCCAGGAAAAAGATAACCCCTATTATCTGGCCTTTAAATGGTTGTAAAAAAAAATAACAGTTGTCGCCAGGCGGTGGTGGTGCACACCTTTAATCCCAGCACTCGGGAGGCAGGAGGATCTCTGTGAGTTCAAGGCCGGGCTGGTCCGACAGCCCCCGAAACAATACAGAGAAACCCTGTCTCATAAAACCAAAAAGAAAAAGTAACAGTTGTCATTGAAATAAGTGTGCTTTTGAACAATCCTTAATTTTGAGATTCAGACTGTTGCCTTAGTTTTTCAGATGATAAGAGCTCATGTGGGGCTTGAGCCATGACTGTTACCTTTAGATGGAGATGAGTTGTGAATTTATGATGAGAACAGACCTATTAGCATATGAAGTCTTAAGTCAGATAGGAGAAAACTGTCATTAAAAATGCACTGAGTAGCTGGAGAGGTGACTCAGTGGATCCCTAGAATCACATAAAAGGTAGGTGGGTATAGCAGCTCATTCACTTATCATTCCAGTTCTCAGGAGGAAGAGATCAGCGATCCCCAGGATGAACTAGTTAGATAAGGTAGCTCTAGATTCAAGTGAGAGGCCATGCCTCAGTGAATCATATGGAGAGCAATTGAGAAAGACTCCCAATGTCAACTTCAGGCCTCTGCTCCAACACACACATGAGCACATGCACATATACACACGTGAATATTCGCACACATATACACAAGCACACTATACAAAGAGATACACAAATTTCTTAAAAATACATTGTGGTAGAAATTACTTTCCTTCCTAAAATTTGAATTTCTTTGAATAGGAGGAATCTTTATCCATTTGTACTGGTTTTGGGTGTTAAGTTACCATGTTTGTTTATTATATCAAATTAAATCTTAGTTTCTTAAAGTATTTTGGAGACCCATAATTCATCCCACACATTTTGTTTAATTTATCAAACCAAACAGGGAAGGAGGACAGTAGCTCTCCTCATATGCCAGCTCCAAGTATGAAGAAGGCCAGGCACTTCAGAGAATCATCAACATTTAAATAGCTGCTACTTTAAGAATTCTTAGCTCGGCCTTCTTCAATGCTCAGAGGCAGCATCTTGTTCAAGCATGTTGTTTCAATCGACAGCCTCCCCACACATGGTAGGCACCAGAGTGTAATGAAACACTCAAGGACTAGAGAGATCTGGTTTCTATCCGACTTCTGCAAAACGAAGACGACAAGACTTACCACTCATTGTGTCATCAGGCATCAAAGACAAGGCTCTCACAACAGCTGTGCCAGAGCCTGGCACAGAACTGGCAAAAGGAGCTGTTTTAGTTTTGAGTGGCTGGTGAGTCAGCTAAGGCACAAAGAACAAAGGTGGGAGAGAGCAGCAGTGGAAACGTGGAAAACTCACCGCCAGACTTCATCCTGCTTATCCAAATGCTAAGGTTGACTATTGCTCATCCAGACTTCTAAATGCTATAACCAGGGCTCTCAAAAGACAGGCTTAGCCAAGTTGGTCATGGCTGAGAAGGTTCTACACACATGCAGCTAGTGGGAGCAATAGTGTCATAACATCATGCCCGTCCTCTGCTCGAATCCCTTCAGCACTCTAACCTCACTCAGTGAAGACTGTATCACAGTATCCCCAAGGCACACAGAATAGATCCTCCCTCAGCTCTTCTGACTTCATCTCCATCAACTTCTTTGTTCTCTCCTGACTGCTGGCCCTGGCCTGTTGTTCTTTAATCTCTCACTGTGACTCCAATCTTGCCTTTTCAATGATGCCTTCCTTAACTAGTTTGCTTACTAAGTGAAGTGTGTCTTCTTTGCATGCCTGATTCCACTTTCTGTTATCTGTATTTTCTTTTACTTTGTCTGTTTCCAATGGCAGTTACCATCCACTAGGCTGTGAATGCATTTGGTATATTTCTTGTTTGTGGTGTGTTTACTCTAGGTATAACATAAGCACTGATCATGTGGGGCTCTCTAATTTGTTCCTGGGTAGGCCCCAACTGATTCCAAGATTAATACTTGGCATATGGAAAGGAGACTAGAATATTCACCAATAATCCGTGGAAGAAAGTATACTGGAAGGGACAATTTTTTGAAAAGATATAAAACATTACAGTGATCAGGAAATGAAAAATATTTCCTTTAAAACCCAACACAAATTGAGATAACAAAGTAATATATTTATAATGCTCAAATAACTGGTTTACCAACTTTGGGGATCAATTAGGTATTACTTAACAAAACCAGTGGAAAATATGATACTTTCACCCAACAGGTGGACTCATTAATGCAAGCCATAAAGAAACCTTGCCTTGTTTGTACAAGGAGATATATAGAAAGATAAGTGTTGAAGAGCTTTGCTGATATGAAAAAATGGGAAACAGCTTATAGCCCTCTCTGGAAATGAAAAACTATGTGCTGTCCATTTACACTGCTC